GCACCCGGCTGACTGGTAGGGTCCGCCGGCTCCGGTGGTTCCCGGTGCGCTCCTGGTTGCGCCGAGCTGGTCAAGGCCAGCACCTCGCGCGACGGCGACGAGGGCTGCGAGCGCCCAGCACTTCCGCTCCACGCCGGTCATCGGGGCTTGGCGGCCGGGTGGGCTCGGGGCGAGGGAGCGGGCGGCGCGCGGGTGGTGCTGGCCTTGGAGTGGGCGACTGGGATGAGAGTGCCAGCTCGGGCGACTTCAGGAAACCGTCCGAGACGTCGTGCCCTCTTTGGGAAAGTGAGAACAAGGTCTTGGAGGATGGAAGTGAGGGTAACAAGGGCACGTTTATGAAAGAGCCCGGTACAGGCCCCAAAGAGTAAGGGTCGGAGATTGGGGATGTGGGGGGAGGGGAAAGAAGGATTTCTTAAACCCCGTGGGGGATCGGGCAAGAAAGGATCCAGTAGCTACAGCCCGGCTTCCAGCCTTGCGAGTTCATGCCACCCTCTCCCTTGGAGACAAGTTTGGAAGACAACTCGTCCTTTTCTGTGACTTTTCCTCATTCCTTTAAAAACTTTTTTTAAAGAATTATTTATTTGATTCTATTTGTTATTATTATTATTATTTTAAATTTGACCAGAGTGAAACAGAGAGAGAGAGAGAAAGGGAAAGGCAGAGAGAGAGAGCAAGTCGTCAGGTGGGACTCAAACCTCAGTCCGCCATGTGGGAATTCAGCACCTTTAACCACCACACCACCTGCCAAACCCTTTTTATCTAAGTTACAGAACATCTTCCAGGTTCCTGACACTTTTCTAGGGAATTCAACCCTGAATGAGGCAAAGTCCTCTCTCTTAATAATCCTGGATGGGACGACGGTAGGGGGAGGGGCAAGGTTAAAAGTGACAGGTTCTGTGCTGTGTATTGCATTGGTGAATTACACTGATGGGAGATGGAGGGCTCTTTTACCTTTTTTTCCCCCCTTCAATTTGCTACAGGGCCTGTGCACTCGCCAGAGAGAAAGTGAGAAAGAACTCCCTACGCAGCCCTGCTAACCATGTTGCAATCCTTTCTCTTCTACTCTGCTCTCCTGATTTTGGGTACTCACACATACCCAGCATGTTTTTTAAGCCCCAGGGACACAAACTGCACAGTTCGTCCTGTGAGATCCAGCTGCCTTCACCACCACTGGCTGGTACCAGAGTGCGCTTTCAGATTGATGATTGGGGAAGGCCTCTCTGCAGAGGTGGCATTGAAACAGGACTGAATGACAAGGTGCAGTCAACTGTGCCAAGATTCAGAAGACATTCCAGGTCTCCACAGGAGGAGACTGGGCTAGGAATAAGGGACTGGGGCCTGCAGAACTCTTCCAGCCAGGCTAAGGTGTTTTGTTTACACTCTCTTGACTGATGGGCTGACTTCTAGAGGGGAGCTTTTATATTCCAAGTTCTCATACATATGCTTTCCCTAACCCTTTACTGACAAAGCAAACTCAAGTTACAACTTATTTGGCAGATTTTTGTGAGTCCATCTGCCCTTGATATGTAAATTTTCCCACACTCAACCTACACTTTCTCCACCTACCCTTTCTCCTTTGCCAGCTGCTCTTTCCAACCCAGAGTAGTGGCAGCCCACCCTCCCTGCTTACTTTTCTATGGGTCATCTCACCTTTCCTCAGATTATCCCTTTTGGGATCTCTTCTAAGTCTACCTGTTCTGCTTTTCCTGAGTTCTAGATTGCAGGTCCAGAGCTGTGCTGCAAGTTTCAAAGTTCAGCTGTCTTGAAAGTAGACTGGTGAGGCTGACCCATGGCGTGGTGGTTACAGGAACTAGATCCTACACGGCTGACAGTGCTGTTAAAATCCCAGCCTCAGTGGCTTGAAAAACACACTAGGCATGTGTGTATGCGTGCCCCAAATCCCAACAGGTTGGAGAAATGGAAAAGAAAAAATAGCAGTGGGACCACAACCCATTGAGGGGTGCTTTCTCCCTCTCTCTCGCTGGTGAGTGTATAAACTCTCTGGCAACTAAAAAAAAAAAAAAAGAAAAGAAAAGAAAAGAAATGGGGGAAGCAGGAAAAATGCTCCTGAAATTACTAAATTGTAATTTACCTTGGGCCAGATGGTGGCACAGCTCTAATGCAATTGGATTCACATGAGAAGTGTCCTGGGTTTGCCTCTTGGGCTCTCCCTGAGCACTCTGCCCTACTGAAGCTGGGGGAAGATGGTGGCATGAAGACCTGATGGGGATGCCTGTTTGCCTTGTAGACGAAATAAATTACATTTATAAACAGCAACAGCAAACTTTCCTTTTCTCTATGGTCTCTACCAACCTATGATGCTGTTTTTATTTATTATTTAATGTTGTATTTCCCAGGAGGGCACAGGAACATTCCCCTTTCATGTCCCCATGGCAGTTGGGTGACCCTCAAGGGATTGCAACATGTACCAGAGTGTGCTTGGTACCAGGATCATGGTAAACAAGACACGTTGGAGCTTTGGATGTGCTAGGGCGCCACCCTGCCGTGTCCTAAGATGGTAGGGTAGGGGCAGGGTAGGTCATTCCCCGGGGGGTGGTGGGGTATTCCCCGGGGGGGGGGGGGATGTGATTTTTCACTTTCTTTGTCTCTCTAGTGAGCACACATGCCCTATAGCAAATCTAAAAATCAAACGAAAAACACCTCTATCTGAGCTTGGGTTGTCACTGTCAGTGGCATCACCACCCTCCAACCTGGCGCCTTCCATCTTCTCTGACTCATTTTCACCCATCTCAAACAGTGAAGCCCTCTCCCAGGCCTGCGTGTCCTTTGGAGATTTTCTTGTGTCATCCCCCCACCCATCCCTATCACTTCAGACCAGACCTGATTTTCTCTGCACCGCAATGGTAGTGCACATGGAAGGGGCACCAAGGCCAGCTGCCTTGCTGAATGCCTTACATACACCATGGCACTATCATGACACTGCACCCAGTGTGGTAGTTTCTGTTCTGTAATTTTCACAGAGAGTGTGAGTAACTTGTCCAGGGGCACACAGAATCAAAGCCCCTTGCGTCTATCTGTCCAGCCGTGTAACTACCAAAATTTTTCAGGAAGATGCACTAGACTTGAGGCCACACCTATGGGTTCAAGTCTTGAGCCTTTACTTATTATTTATTTAAGAGAGATTTTTGCTATAGGGCATTTGTGCTCACCAGAAAGAGACAGACAGAAAGTAAGAAATCATCCCCCAGGGGGATGGCCGCACTGCAATCCTTTCTCCTCCATTCTCCTCTTAGGGTCTTGGGCATGCACACACATGCACCCCACATGAGTTTAAGCAACCAGATCCAGGATTTGAACTGCAAGTTGACTACGTGGGAGTCCAGTGACATAACCATCTGCTGGTCCCTTAATCTCATTATTGATTAGTTGTGCAATTTTTTTGGCAATCCTGTGAAAAATTCACTTTTTTCACTTGGGCTACTGTGATGTCATGATAGAATGCGAAAGTGCTTTGTGAATTTAAAGTGTTTCTGGGAAGTCTTGCTCTAAAAGATATTAAACACAATAGGCTGGCCTTGTAATATAGCAGGTAAGCACTGCACCCAGGGAGCCAGATTCCACATGGCTGACCACAGCTTGAACCCCAGCCAGTGACTTGAAAAACACTCCAGGTGCATGTGTGTAAGTGAAGAAAAATTCTGTCAGAAAGGAGAAATGGAATAATAAAAATTGTGGCAGGATTACACCCATTGAGGGGTCCTCCCCCCTCCCCCCACCGTGAGTGCATGTGCTCTCTAGCATTAAAGAAAATGAATGTGCTAGTAATCTGAGCAACTTCAGTGTGGGCTCTTTTCTACTGATCAAATGACCTTCAGCCTTTGCCCTGGAGAAAGCCTTTGCATAGACCTGCAAGATGCTGGCTGACTGTGTTATAATACACAGTGCAGAGTACTTCAAGGATCAATAGATGTCATTGACCACATGTGCAAATTTCTTAAATGTTAATCCACTTAAAATCAATGTGAACTAGCAGGTGGCGTGGTGATTAAGACCCTGGACACCTACATGGCCCACTGTGATTTGAGTCCTGGACCTGGTGGCTTGCTCTCCTACTTTCCCATTCTCTCTGGTGAGTGCACATGCCCTATAGCAAATTAAAAAAAAAAAAATATATATATA